CTGCCCTCCATGGGTGGGCAGGCAAGGCATAGGAAGCAGCCCTGACCACAGCTGGGCGACCCCTTACCAGCCAGCCAGAAGGCCCACCTGTCATATGCCTGGTGACAGAGGGCTCTGAAACCCTCCCCTCAACTTTCTTTGGCTGCTTCCAGATGATACTGAAATTTCAAGATATTTGGAACACTTCGAGAAGTAAGGGACAAAAGGCAGGTAATTGAATTGCTACAGAAAATCCAGGAGGTACGATGATTATAGCTGGAACGAAAGTTGGGGGTCTTCCACCCTGCCCCCGGGACATGAAAGGGAAGTAGGAGCAGCTGGTGACACAGACGGCAGAGCAGACCTCTGGGATTCCCTGGGGAGGATCTGAGGGCCATGGGTGGCCTTTCCACACTCATTTCTCCCCAGAGGTGGACCACAGTAAGGGACATACATGGTGCTATGCCAAATTAGGCTAAACCAAAAATATGATGGGTGCATTTTCTTCCAATTACTCCCTAGGTAGAAGTCATTCACTCCCTAAGCAACTGATGGTCAACAATTAGGCCTTCTGCTAGATTTTGGGCTTTTTTATAACCACAAAACCAAAAGGGAACTTTGACAACCAGTTATTCCAACCCTCTCATTTACAGATGAAGAAATTATGAGCATGATCAGTGAATAAAAGAAAAAATCCACATTGAAAGAATCCAAGTGAACCAATGTAGCTCCTGAAACTTACACACAGGGAGGCGTGGTGCTCTTGGTTAAGTGAACCAGGCAGCAAGGTCAAGAAGGAAAAAAACCCTAAGTTTCAAAAGGGTATAATTAGCTGGATTATTCTTCACTTAAAGGTAGCATGAGACAGCTCCTTTATCTACAGCAGAAACTACTGAGGTCCAACCATAAACTCATAAATAATGTTTAAAACCCAAAGGAGACAAGAAAGAACCTACATATAAAGGTTCAATAGCGACAACTGAGAAAAATAAGCAAGTTGAATGAAAAGCAAGTTAGAACACACCAATTTGAAGTTAAATTTAAACATTACATTCCGGTTAAAAATAATCCCAAGAAATGACATGTATCTGGAATTCACTTTACGGTCCTCTAGTGGGGAGCATAGGAGAGGGAAGTGAGTGAAGCAAAGATGAAATAAGATGGGCCCTGAGCTGCTGAAGCTGAGTGATGTGCTACACATTCTCTGTGCTTCAGAATTCCCCAATTTAACATCTGCATAAAACTAGCAAATTCTCACCAAACATGCACCCTTGTGTCACGCACAGTGCAAATTACTTAGCATGGGACTGGCGTATCAACGCCACTCCTAATGCATGTCACTTATTGTTACTTCTTACAAAATAAAGTTAAGCCAAAATCAGATCACAAGGTATTCAGATGACATGACTTTACTTAATTTCTAAATAAATCAACCTGGTAATGATTTTTGAAAGCATTTTTTTCAATTATACATCATGAATGACTTCTTAAGCTAGATTTCATTAGATAAACATATAATTCAAAAGAAAGGTTGCTTTATAGATGATCTATATTAATCAGTGTCCCACAGATGCCTCCCACAAGCTTCTAAGTAAATGTGAGTTAAAACTAAGTCTGTCTGTGGACCCAGATTTTCATGATTCCCAGGCCCCAGACAAATTGAGACACACTCCCACCTTGCCCATGACGGAGGACGGGCCCTGCAGTCGACTCAGTAACTGTGGGTACCCTGGCCACAGCTGCCCAGACCAGCAGTGGACACCTGCCCTAACAGACAAGTGAATGGGCTCCAGGACTCAGAATCACTGCTTCAGGGACCTCTGCACACCATGACACAGAAAGGACCCCTATAACCTTCACAGGTCCACCACCAAATTCTTACATCGATTCTTCAATGCTTCAATTTTAGTTTTGCTCAAACAGAAAAGAGTGAGCATCGGGCAGACCACCATCACATCGGGCAGAGTAAGGACCTGCTTCGAGGAGGCAGAGGTCCTGGGAGTGAAGAGAACTCAGGTACCTAAAACATCCCTCCCTAAGGCATCTCTCCCGCCAGATTTCCTGATGTGCATTTCACTTGGTGTCTCTGGTATTTTTCTTATGATCCAAATTTTTTCTTTTAAGCAAAATAAATCAGTTACACAAATGATTACTACTCAAAGGAGGACAGAAGAGCAAAGCAAAAGGCCACACTACTGTCACTCTCCCACTGGACACGTGTTCCTGGGAGCAGGGGCTGGGGCCCACCTCTTCCGGGCAGGATCACCAGGGCCTAAAACACCGCCTGACACGGAGTAGGCAAATAGTTGTTGCGTGGGTGACTGACACTTGAAGTCTTTCAAGGAAAAGATACCCACACACTGGAAGCTACAGCATTTAAGTAAGGAACCATGATGTGCCAAAGGGACGCCACCGTGGTTCTACCCCAAATTCTTACCGTGAAATCCTAACCCTCAAGGAGATGGTATCAGGAGGAAGGGCCTTGGGGAGGGGAACAGGTCATGAGGGAGGAGCCCCCATGAGTGGGATTAGTCTCCTTATAAAGAGACCCTGCAGAGCACCTCTGCCCCTTCCACCACGTGAGGATCCGAGAAGTCTGCAACCCACAAGAGGGCCCTCGCCCGACCAACCCTGATGGCACCCTGACCTTAGACTTGCAGCCTCCGGTACTGTGAGCCACAAATGTCTGCTGTTTAGAAGCCACCCAGTCACAGGTATTATGGGATGGCAGACTAAACAAACTCACATTATGGCCATGGTCCTGGGGATGATTCTAGGAGAGATTTTAAGTATGAAGTGGCACAGATTACATACACCACAGGAGTCTTTCTAATGACCTTGAAGTTACCTGTTCAGCAGGTTACACATACATTGTACACGGTTACAAACAACACGAGAAGCAAGGGGGTGTTCCAGGGAAGAAGTGGCACAAGCAAGACAGGATGGAACCCACACGTTCACTGGACAGGGAGAAAGGTCTGCCTAGAGCCGGTGGCTGGAAGCTGAAGGACAAGGGGGCTTACACTGCCAAAAGACACAAGGAACTGCTGCATTCAGTGGCAGGGAAATGACAATGACAGTCCTTGGCTTTATCTGGGAGGACAGCGGAGGGGATGCGGCAGGACCAGGAGACCAGGTACAGGGAGGGACACCGACTCCAACACGACACTCAGCTGCACCCACTGTGTAAGCGGAATGGGGAGAAACGGCCACTTCCAGAAAGAAGCACTCAGGAAACAAAACTCTAGCAGGAACTTGGAATGCCTCAAACTCCCTGAAATCAGGGGCAACACTGCGTTGCTGTTTTCTTTCCATGTCCTCTACAATGAGGACCCAATGCTCAGCATCAGTGACACTTAAGTCCTGGCCATGTGTCAAAACTTGATGCTGACCCCAAGCTGGGGTAGTGGCGGGGGGGTGGAGGGGAGCAGAACCAGAGATCCAGGCACTTCCGGAGAATCTGAGACTAGACCAGCTGCCTAAAGAGGGGATCGAAGGCATCCAGGATGATGCCCACAGCCACCGGGAAGGAAGGCAGGCATGTTTCCCTTTTCCTCAGCCTTCCCCTCACTAAACACAGGCAGATGCATAGGATGTTTAATGCTGCTCATTCCAAGGGGTTGGAAGATTCTCTCTGGGGACTAAATAAGCAAGCTGAGTATTTGAGCTGAGCCTTGAGAAAGTGAAAATCAACAGTCTAAATCCACGGTCCTCAAACTCAGGGCCAGAAAGGTCAAGAGTTCCCAAGAGGCTCAGAGAGGCTGTTTGGGAAGATCCCGATAAGAGACTGCTCTCAATTCTCCACTACCCTTGAGACCATCGGCCTCACGTAGGACAAGACTCCCTGCCCTCTGCGCCACAGGCAGCTTGGCAGACAGGGGGCAGCTTACAGGCTGTAGTTCCCGAAGCCTTCAAGCGGAAAAGCTCTAGGACCCTTCTCCAACACCTCATCTTTGCAGGGTGGCAGGGAGGGGATGGAAAATTAGGCCCTCCAACTGACCTGGGAGGGAGAAAGTCAGCCTGAGAAAGCTTCTGGGAACAGCTGTGGGGAAAAATACAGATCTGAGTGATAGGCAGGCCTGACAAAGGAGAGGAGGCTCTGATGCCAGAAGGGTTTTTAATTCAGACAGAAGAAAATAAGAAACAGTGGCAAGGAGTGTTCTGCCAAGGTACATGCTTTTTCTAAAAAGGTTTATGAAGTCAAAGCCAGTCTCAAAGCTGTTTCTGAATGAGTCTCCCCCAAATTCATCTGCTGAAACCCTAACCCCCAGTCATGGTATTTAGAGGTGATTATAGGTCTATAGGAGGTCATGAGGGAGGGGCCCCAGGCTGGGATAAATGCCCTCATCAGAAGAGGAACAGACCAGAGCCCCTTCTCGCTCCACCTCTAGAGGACACTGAGAGAAGGTAGTTGTCCCCAACCCAGAGAGCAGACCCTCTCCAGACACTGCATCAGCCAGTACCTTGATCTTGAATGCCCAGCCTCCAGAACCGTGAAAAACAAACATCTGTTTTTTTAAACCACTCGGTCGAAGGTATTTACTCTAGAACCGCTCAAGCTAAGACAGCCTCTGTTTAAGAAACATTGGCATTAAAAAATATTATCCTCTAGTGAGAAGAAAAGAACATAGTTTTCACTTAAGCCATAATATGATGAGAAAGAACAGGAAACCACTCTTGAAAGATCTGTCTAAAATAGAACTTAGATTCATGTTTCCTACTGTAAAGTCAGAATGAAAAATATGAAAGAGGGCAGAAATGATGATATTAACATCAGGACTATCAACAATGAAAACTGAAATTATAAACAATTTAAAAAACGACTTAATGTAATATAGCTTACTTCCCCAAAATAACTTTCTGGAATATCTGAAATATTTAAAGAGGCTAAAAATACTCTTTCAAAAATAATTTTCTTGACCTGTTAAAATAAAGATGTCTGAGTGAAAATTAATAAAAATACCCCAGACTACTAATTATCAAGGTCCACATCCTAGGCAAGATAGCTTTCTAGGACTTACCACATGAATCCATCTCTGAATCATGACCTCATCATTTTACAGACAATGGCCTATGTTTCTGGAGCACATCTACAACCCCTTAGAAATGACATCCTGTAGCCTTCTATTCCTAAAAAAAAAAAAATTATTTTACATGTGATCATTTGTGGTCACCCACACACCGTACAGTAAGCTGCAGCACTCAGTTATAGAAAAGCACAGTATCCTATCTCTGATACCTCTTATCACATATGCCTCAGAAAGATAAAAGCCAGATGCAAACACCACCCTTTAATAAGATCTTTAACATCAGATAGAGCTACTGACCCTGCTTTTAACTTCCAGACACACTAAAAGAAATTTTATTCATGTCCTTGAAATTTAAAGAATTTTCACAAACCCATGTCCAAAATATTACATTTTTTAAAAAAAATCTGATTCTTAGAAACTCCTTTAGCAACCACGCCCCACTTACACAGCTCCCAGACATTCTCTGCCACCATCCCTTTCTTCCTGCAATATACCTTTTCTTTGTTAGTGCTTTACATGATGTAATGAAACAAATGCAAAAATACTTAGATAATGTGATGTGTAGGGCACTGTTCTCAGTGTTTTTGCATATTTTAATCTTCATAACAGCCCATTTTCCAGTGAAAGCTACTGAGGCACCAAGAGGGGAGGTAACCCGCCCAAGTCCCAGTCCTAGTGATGGACCAAGATCTGCCCCCACCCCTCTGGTTCCCAAACCCTGGCTTTAAAATTGCACGAGCAAGCTGAATAGTAAACATTAAGAATACAGACACATCATGCAAGCAAGGGAGACCAAAAACTACATGAGGAATAAAAATCTTAGTTTTTCTCTGGTCTTCCTCCCGAACCAGCTTTATCGGTAACGTCTGGATGCTCACGTGCCATGGAGGTGCCTGGACAGTCTGACTCCTTGGGGAGGGAGCTGCATGGACAGGTGGGCCTTCTCGGCCAGATCTGTCTACTTTACCCTGTGGTTCCACATGGCAGCAGGTGGGGTGGTGGCTTCACCCCACATCCCACTTCTTAGAAAACCTGCACCCTAGACGTCTTTTTGCTACAGTGGAGTTATTCTTCTGTAAGTTATTGTAAGTAGAGTCACCATTTTGTGCTACATTTAATCAGTTTGGATCTCTAAGCTTCCCTAGAAATGTTACTGTATCTTTCCTACATTTGCTTCCTGAGAACCAAGAACCGGGGGAGTTAGCAGCACAGTCATGATTAGTCAAGAGAGGGTAGAGAAGAATGTAAAATAAGAATGCATCAGCTGTTTTAGAGAGGAGGAGTGTTCTTAAATAGGGCACAGCCAGCTGGGGAGGAAGAAGGGAGGGAAGGCATTCTAGGGCTGTCCTGGTGTGGTATAATAAAAAATATATTTGGTCTTGCTCTGTGGTTTCTGGCACAGAGCTCCCAGAACCCCTGGAATTTCCGGAGTGATAGGGAGGTCTTGTTATTCAGACCAGCCCCTTAAGACCATGCCCAAGTTTATGCTAATGAAGTGACTCAGGGCTAGCCCCAGCTAGCTTCAGGATGGGGGCTGGCCACAGAAAGACCAACTTACAGGATTAAGAGGGTGGAAACTTTCAGCGCCAGCCCCCAACAACCAAGGGAGTGGGGCTAGACACTGGGTTATAAAAACTCTAGAACAACAAGATTCAGGGGACTCCAGGGTTGGGGAACACACTGATGTGCTAGGAGGGTGGCAGGTCTGGAGAAGGTATCCAGGCTCTGTACCTCCCCCAGGCCATACCTTTCCCTATACACCTCTGCCATCTGGCTGCTCCTGCATCCTTTGTAATAAACCATTGATATGAAATTCTGTGAGTCCTTGCAGCAAATTATTAAACCTATTGAGGGGGTCATGGGAACCCCCAATTTTCAGCCAGTCGGTCAGAAGGGTGGGAGGGCCAGAACCTTAAACTGGCATCTGAAGTGAGAGGGAGCCTTACACGGTCTGCGCTAACTCCAAGGAGCTGGTGTCAGAATTGAACTGAATTAAAGGATGCCCAGCTGGTATCAGAGAAGCAGAGAGCTGTGCAGTTCAGTAGCCCCTAGCCACATGTGGCTGCTGAGCACTCACGATACACTCAAGTCCATCTGCATCCTGCTGTAAGGGTAAAACACACTGGATTCCACAGACTTACGCAAAAAAGAAAGAAGAAAAAAAATTAAAAATCAAACATCTCATTAGTGATTTTTTTTTAAGATTTTTATTTATTTGAGAAAAAGAGAGCGAGAAAGGGAGAGATAGAGCAGGAGCAGAGGGAGAGGGAGAAGCAGACTCCCCGCTGAGCAAGGAACCTGAAGTGGGACTCAATCCCAGGACCCTGGGATCACGACCTGAGCCAAAGGCCGACGTTTAACAGACTGAGCCACCCAGGTGCTCCAGCATTAGTGATTTTTTATACTGACTGTAAGTTGAAATGAAATTGAACTAAATAAAATACATTGCTAAAATTAATTTAATCTATTTCTTCCTACTTTTTCAATGGGATTAACTAGGAAATTTCAAGTTACAGATTTAGCTCACATTGGTGGCTTGCATGATAGTCTGTGGAATGGAACTATTTTAAATGCTTTCATTTCTAAACATGTAGGGGCTGAAAGCCACTTTTCATCTGGAATTTTCACCTGCAAAGAAAGCAACTACCTGAGGATGGGAGAGTGGGATGTGAGTAATCAAGGGGAGAAGGAATTAATATTCATCACGTGCTTCATTTGTGCCAGGAACCACCCAGTACCTGGTACAATTTCACCCTAAGTCCCCTGGATGATGAGAATCCTCTTCCTATCAGAGAAAAAAGCACCAAACCTCGCTTGCACCAACGAAGTCACAGAGCAAGGACTCCGACTGCACCCCCCTTCCTTCCTGCACAGCAGGGTTGGCAGACTTTTTCTGGAAAAGGACCAGATAATTATTTCAGGCTTTGCAAGCCATACAGTCACTGCTGTAATGACTCAACTCTGTCTTGTATCATGAAGGCAACCACAGACCATATGTAAATAAAAGGGGCCTGGCTGTGTTCTAATAAAACCGGCATCCCAAAAACAGACAGGCAGCCGGATCTGGCCCACAGGCCAACCCCTGTTCTACACAGTTAAAAACAAGACAACGGGTCCAAAATGGAGTTGCTTACGCTAAGACCGGTGTCACCAAACTGAGACTTAACAGTTTCCACTCTCCCAGAAAGGGTATCTTAAACCAGTGAGGAATTGTCTACAAAGTACTACTTGGGTAATCTGCCTGACAGCAGCCCCCACCCCTGCCCCAGCCATCCCCTAAAGGAAAGTGACCTTGTCATGACCTACCGACTTGCTTTTTTGTCTAGTAAAACTTCCTTATTCCCATTCCCTCCCACCTACAAAAGCCTTTCATTTTGTATAGCTTCTCAGAGCTCCTTTCTGTCTGCTAAATGGGATGCTGCCCAATTCACGAATCGCTGAATAAAGCAAACAAAATCTTTTCACTTTACTCAGCTGAGTTTTGTTTTTTAAGTCTGGTGGCAGTGGTAGGATGCAAGACTTCTGACGCCTTCAGGGATGGGAAACATAGGCCAACCCTTCGAGTTGTCTGTCTTGCCATTTCCAAGGTCCTCTCAGATGTGAGCTCCACTCATGCCGAGCTCCCGATCTAACTGGCTCTCTAGCCCAGGGCTGACAGGTCAGTCTACACTGACACAAGGCCCTAACAGAGCACCAGTCCTTAGTTAGCCCTTGATTAGTCCCCTGGTTGGTCCATGGTCCCAGTCCAGGACTTAGCAGATCGGCTTGAGCTGGCAGATGGTCTCCCCTGAAACCCAAATCCCTAGCCCCTGGTTAGTCCCTAGACCCCACCTGTTGGAATCTGCTGGTTTGGTCCATAGTTCCATGTTGGGAGCTGCTGGTGCTGCATACCTAAGGCCTTCTCTCGGCCAGTCCACAGTACCATCTCTTTGGTTACTGCTGGTATCCACAGCTGTTTCCTCGGTTACTGCTGGTCTCTCTTACTGTGCACATGAGGTAAAGGAATAATAGATCCATAGTTAACGGGAATCTCAGAAGCCAAAGCTGCAAAATCGGTGGGCACGGCAGGCCAAGCACTGAAAAGCTCTTGGAATGCTCGTGCGAGGATAAGCTGGTCACAACATGGGTTAGATGGACACTAGGTCACCTGCCAACCTCAAGAAAATCTCCATGCAATGAGGTACAATATAAAGCACCACCTAATCCCCAACCCAGTGGCACATCCCTCTTAGGTATTAGTTTGGCTCCAAGGGACCCAAGGCTTAGCTAAGAAATGGGATCCTCTAGTTCCAAAGACTTGAGCATGCCAACTTCTGGTAAACCCGCTTGTTTTATATCTAAACTGTGGTCTTGGAAGCTGTAGATATCTACAAAAAATGACAAAATCTCATGAAGACAAGACAGAATGGCAATGGCCGTCATGGAGAACGTTCCAACTGGACAACATCATTCATTTAAGAAATGCACTTGAAAGCAAGGGTTCCCAAATCAAACAGATTGGGACACCTATTTTAATTGGCATGCGGAAGCCTCCAAAAGTCCTCAAGACTCCAAAATTGCTTCATTGAAAGATTCTTTACAAAAGGTTAATAAAAAATTAAAGACACAAGAGGTACCCAAACAAAAGCCTAAGATAGGACTCCTACTGCTCCCCTCTATCCTCCTTTATCTGAATACTCAGTCTGCCAATCCTCTGCCTGAACTGTCTTTCCACTCTGCAGAGACTACACAACTGTAAACAAAAGTCGGCCAAACTAGTGGCCTTACGGACGCCCCCATTTCTATCCTTGCAGACCCTTCATATGGGCTCCTCCCAGGGTCTGAGGGATTCTCTGGTAAATTCCCACCAGTCATTCCCTTAAACAGCCAAGGGGAAACTAAAATTGAAATTAATGGAAATCCTTTCCAAATGCTGGTCGATACTGGAGCAACACTCTACTTGAAACCCTACTCTGGAGTCTCTAGCTGGGACTGTGGGAAAACTGGCAGAAGTCGGCGAAGGGCGACTTGTGTGTCTTCTTGTACATCTCATTTTGTGTCCTGAGAGTTGTCTAAGTCTTCTTCCTATTGCTATCCGGAGTTGGGGAGGGAACAGGGCGCAGTAGTATCCTTGGCACCCTCCCTGGTAATGCCTTGTGCGTCCAAGGGCAGGGACGGATAGTTCAGTACTGTCAGGAATATTTACTGTTCTTCCCAGCTGAAACCTGACGAGGTATTTGAAAGGATCTTTTTTAGCTCTGTGGTCAGTTGGCCAAATTGGAAGCTGATATTCAGAACTTAATAGTAACTGTTTTTAGGGCCCTCCCCTCAGCTAAAAGTACTCAGAGGGAAAGGAAAACATTCTGAAGACAAAACTCTAAATCTAGAACATAGGAATCTTTTGATTTCCATCTTAGTTGAATATCTTCTCCCAGAGACAAAGACACAAAATGAAGATGAGGCAGTTGGATGGGAGGGTCAGCCCTTTTGAAATCATTTTAGATCACAACCCAATTCCTTGAGGTATTAAAAACAGCTGCCTTTGTCTTACAAACTGAGCCTTTACAAGAAGAGAAATGCATCTCTGAAAGCAATTCAAAGCCCACCTATCCTTTTAACCAATCCCCAAATCTCACCCATTCATCTTAAAAGGCTCACAGGTACCATAAAATACGGAATTTAGGAAACAGAAGTCCCAGAGGAAGGAACCTGCATTCTCTCCCTGTGGTTTTGAGATGTAAATGTTCTACCTGGTCTCTCTAGGAAGTGAGGTACTTCTTATCAGAGGGAGAAAAAAAGTTGGGGCGGGATATTTGGAAAGAAGGCAAATGAAAAATCTTGAAAGTCTTCTCCACAAATATTGGTAAAAAGTTTAAACCATCAGAATGGGTAACCTTAACTTATCCCATCTTCTAGAAACACAATTAGATTCCAACTGTTCTTTTAGAAACTAGAGAGTTTTGCATTATTGTACCCACCTTATGGTTAAAATTTTATTTTTTATTTTATTTTTTTAAAGATTTTATTTATTTATTTGACAGAGAGAGAGAGAGCAAGCACAAGCAGGGGGAGCAGCAGAGGGAGAGGGAGAAGCAGACTCCCCACTGAGCAGAGAGCCCAATGCGGGACTTGATCCCAGGACCCTGGGATCATGACCTGAGCTGAAGGCAAAAGCTTAACCAACTGAGCCACCCAGGCACCCCATATGGTTAAAATTTTAAAACAACAGCTGTAAGGTCTGTGTTTGTATGTATGTATGTTTATGTATGTCTAATATGTATGCTGTAGATGTGTGATATTTTTCTACCTCTGGATGGTATTACCAAAATTATTATTATTTTTTTTTAAAAAAAGGTCTACTTAATTAGTTTAAATAAAAACATGCATTTACCAAATTAAGTTTCTAGACTCTCAGAAATATAAAAACTAACCCAAATATTTTTCAGGTTTGCCTGATCTAGGATAGTCTTCGGTAAAAAAAAAAAAAAAAAAAAAAAAAAAGCACAAGTTTACAGTTTGTTGGTTTAATTAAAACAGGCATGTATTTAGAGCTACCAGCATTAAATATAATACTTTTATTCTGTCTGCATTTTCCACTCAAACAGATTTACCTTATCTCTGTTACAAAGTTTGTCAGCAAGAAAAATATCTTAATAGATAACTTTGTTTAATGTCTGCAAAATTTTCATGAGTAATTTAAATATGTTAAAAACAAGTGATTTAGATAGACATTAAGTAGGATAAAAGTTTTTAGGTGAACTTTTTAGCCATGATTATGTTTTACGGTGTGTCTACTTAAATAGTTTCCCCAAATATTTTTGATAACTTGAAACTTTGGAGTTTTGCTATGTTAAGTTAAATGATGTATAGTCATTGAATCTCTACTAGATCATTTTCAAATAAGATAAAATAATGAACATTAATTATTGAACACAGGTTTATCTAATCCTACTTTTGGTTTATTATAGAGAAACTTAAGATATGCGGGTAGATTAGTAAACATGTTCCATACAACACGGAGAAATTTACTAGGAGAAAGAATACATTTCTTCAAGTTATGAAATGTATTTATGAGTTTGCTGATCCACAGAATGCTAGTGTAAGAGACAGTCCATGATTGCTTACTTCTTAGTTTTCACTAGGAAATAAGGACTCTGGGCGTTAAGAATTCTGGTCAATAGAAGTACCTGAAACTTCTTATAAATAACAAGAGTGAAGGGAAACAACTATGTATTGAGTAGACAAGGAGAGTAAAAGGACTAGTTGTTCCAGAATGATAAAAAAAACATATATATAAAACAAAATCTGAACGGATATAAACACAGTTGTAGGTTTGTGGAAAAGGAATCTCATAGAGGGAATTTTACAAGTGGTCAAGTGGGCTAAGATTGGAATGGATTTACTTAAGTTTTTCTAATGAGTTTTAATAGCAAGAGTACACTGGTACAAAATTAGAATTTGAATTTCTTCCTGATAAAAGGACAGTGGTGTTCTCTTGGACCTTTAGTATGCTTTAGATCCGAGATGGTGAAAGTTTCCTTATCTTTTAAGTAATCTGCCTAGGCAGCAAAGATTTTGTGTTTTAACCAAAATAACCTCCTGTGTATCACACTGTCTTCATCAGCTCTTGGGTTACTTAAGAAAACCCAATCTTCTCAATCCTAAAAGAGCTAAATTTTGTTCACAACTTTGTAACCGTCTGCATTTGCCTTTAACAGCATCTTCTATTGTCATTTTGGTTAAACAGATAATGAAGTATTATATCATAATGATCTGTGATCCTATTTAGTCAAACGTTCAAACCGCTTGACGTTTTGACAACTTCCTAAAATCAAATTCTAAATGGGGGCTTTTTCCACCTTAAAGTAACTCTGAGATTTCCCAGAGGGCTCCTGGAAAATCTCAAAGGATTTGTCTCTCACCTGGGTAAAATATTAAACTAATTAGGTTTATCTGCTGTTAAGTTACATGGGAAGCATTCTTAAGAGATGCTAAACTTCCTTAGGTTATACTTGTATGGACGCAGGTTCTGAATATAAGTGTTCTAGAAAATGTATGAAATTCCTAGAAATCTGATATGTCTCAGTATAATGTTATCAGTCATAATTGCAATTATTATCTTAAAATGTTGTATATTGCACAAATGATCAAATTTCCTTGTCATCTCCATTACAAAGAATCCTAACAATGATCTTTAAGTCTTTGACATTTACAGACAACTACTGTTTTACTCTGATGCTTTTGCAGAAGTGAGAATCATAAAAAGGACCCTACCAGGAACTCCTGATCACTGACACCACTGCCAAATTATAAGGTGTGAAACTCGGGTGCATATTTCACAGCTGAAGGCAGGTCCACCTGACATCTGGTCCTGTGCAAATGCTGGAGACCTCAAAATCAAACTGGCTAAGAAGAGAAGCAGCCAACATCAAGGCAGACTGCTTCCACCCAAGACACCAGATCAAGAGTGTTTCTCTCTATTTCTCCTTCCCTCTCTGACCATCTTTTTCCAATTTTTATAATACGAAGGCCTTTATGATTCATTTGCCCATATTTTGATCTGCTCTGGTCTGAAAGATTGTTAATACACTTGGGCCACTGCAAACAGGGATAATCCAATCTCCAAACTACTAGTCGATGGGCCACGATGCTGACGGTCCTGTAGTTCTGTCCATCACACATTTTTCCCTGATTGACAAATGCCTCGGTTTCTCTGGAACTAAGCCCCCATCTCTATTAAGTCAGGCTCCCTAACCCTGGGTATCTATTTCCCTGCCTCAGTTTAACAACCCCAAAGCCAGGGAACCTTGTGTCCAGGCCTTGTACCAAGAAAGGGACACAAGGGAACGGAAACCAGAATAAAACTGTGTGGTCCACAGACCACTACCTTTTACTGGTTTCCACGGCTGTCACCTTCCCAGCCCTGAGTCATGGACTCAAGCAGGAATTACGAGGGGGTACCCATAACTCCAAGATAGCTTCCTTTGGTAGATCACTGTTCCCCTGGCTACCAGTAAGTGCAAATGAGGCTATTATCAGAACCTCACCTTTTGGGGCGCCTGGGTGGCTCAGTCGTTAAGCGTCTGCCTTCGGCTCAGGTCATGATCCCAGGGTCCTAGGATCGAGCCCTGCATCAGGCTCCCTGCTCGGCGGGAAGCCTGCTTCTCCCTCTCCCACTCCCCCTGCTTGTGTTCCCTCTCTCGCTGTGTCTCTCTCTGTCAAATAAATAAATAAAATCTTAAAAAAAAAAAAAAAAAAAGAACCTCACCTTTTAACTCTTAAAGGTACTGCAGAATCCACAGCTGCCAACAAAAATTCCCGGTCTCTCTGGCCAAAATTGTTCTTGGTATTAGGATAGCGTTTGATTATTGTTTTAGTCTGTGCTGTAGTCCATGCCACTTGCTGTACTGACTGACACTTCTGGGGAAGCCATAAAAGATCAGTGTATCAAGCCAGCTGGCTTCAGAAAGTGACTCCTTCAATGGGATTTGATCTTGACTGGTATGGGTCTTAGGGACCATGGCTCTGAGGTCCTCCAGATATTGGGAATTATCCTACTTATAATCATCACAGGGGTGCCTGGATGGTGCAGTCGGTTAAGCACCAACTCTTGTTTTCTTTCAGCTTGGGTCATGATCCCGGGTCCTGGGATCAAGGCCCACGAACAGCTCAGTTCTTAGCAGGGAGTCTGCTTGGGATTCTCTCTCTCCCTCTGTCCCTTCCACCCACCCCTGTGCATGCGCTCACTCTCTCTCTAATAGATAAAAAAATCATTTAAAATAATCATCATAATCTTCCTGGTGCACTGTACTCTCTCACAAGCTTTAAATGCATGTTCATGTTCACAGCCGCTAAGCACCAAGCAAATGATCACACTGAGAATGGAACATCAGAAAGGAATGAAGAGAGTGACTGACTTAAAGAATGTGAACCTGAAGTCATGACTTGTGAATACCACACAAAGAGTCAGCAAAAAAGACACCATCACCTGTGAATATCGACAGAGATTCGGCAAAACTCAACTTCCAAGTGGTGGCTGTGAGTAGTGCTAATGCCTTAAATTTTGATCACATCTCTCAGGTTAGAGTCTGACCAAAAGAGGGTAATTGTTAAAAATAAAAAATAATAAAAATAATAAAAATTAAAAACAAACAAAACAAAACAGGCCCATGTCACCAAACTTCAGTTTCCATGCTCCCAGAAATGGAATCTTAAGCCAGTCAATGAAGAATCACCTCATCAGCACTAATTCGGTAATTTGCCTGATAGACCCCTGCCATCCCCTAAAGGAAAGTGACCTTGTCACGACCAATCTGCTTTTCTGTCCGCTATAACCTCATTGTTCCTTCTCCCTTCTGCCTATACAAGTCTTCCATTTTGTACAGCTCCCTGAAGCTCCTTTCTGTCTGCAGGATGGGATGCTTCCCAGTTCACAAATCACTGAAGGAAGCCAATAAGATCTTTAAAAAACTGATTCACTTGAGTTTTGTTTTTTTAACACCACCATGAAGAGAAATAGCTATTCCTAAATATTCTATCAGTGCACCAAAATATAATGTTACAAAGGATCCCTTTCACAAAATACTAATTAGGTCATTGTCATAACAAGGTTGACCCAAGAAAGTCAAATTCCGTAAGTTACCTACTGTTAGGCCTCTAAGCTTTTCTTAAATACCAAGTATGCCATTTAGGCACTGACACTAGAGGTATCAAGTTAATAGCACATTACATTTGATTCGATGTATATGACGTATGTGGCAAAAATAAAATCAAAAGTCACCCAAGGGAATACAGAGTGGAGGACAGGACATGAAACACAGGGAGGATCCGGGTGGAAAGGGTTAAACACTACCATCCTGGCACTGACTTGTGTGGGTACCCGACCTGCCTAACTTCACACATACGAGTGTCACGCACCCGGGCAAATACGCCCGGCCATGGGAGGAGTTACACTTGACTACGTCAGGGTTCTCTTTGAGACCAACCTCACCCCTTCTCTGATTCCCAGTTCGGACCAGCTCTTTACAGGCAGCAGCAAAATGGAAGAAGGCAGCTCAGATCAGTTATTCCACAAATTTGAAAACTTTTAAAACTATTAACTCATAAATCATTACTCACTACAGATGGAAATAGTTTGTGGGGCCTCTGTGTGGCTCAGTCGGTTAAGCATCTGATCCTTGATCTCAGCTCAGGTCTTGATCTAGGGGTGGTGAGTTCAGGCCCCCGTGTTGGGCTCACGATGGGCGTGGAGCCTACTTAAAAAAAAAAAAAAAAAAAAAAATTGTGGGAAAAATCCCTGCATGCCTATCAGGGGAAGGAAGGCCAAGGAACACAAAGGTTTGGGGCTTAAACTGAGGTTGGCCATGCTGTTCACCTGGAGACCCCCCTGCTCCCTGCTTTCTCCTATAGAGACCACCCTGATCGATGCCTGGTGGATAAAGACAAAGGGGAATACAGCACTAGAAAAAAAGAACAACTAAATGAAGTAAGAGAGGGAGAAAGAAATACATCAAGTTTGTCCCACTTTATGGTCACTCCCAGTATCACCCACAGCACAGCCATTTCCCAGCTGGGAAGAAGCACCCACATTCCCAGTCTCATGCTACTATCCGTGCACTCATCTTGCTCACCTTTCCCCACTTAATCCCCGCCAACGCCCTCCCTTCATTCTTTTATTTTCTTTAAAAATCTTATTAAAGGGCTTACCATAACGGGTTTCTACTATATCTTGAGCCAATTAGGAGAAATATCATAAAAACCTAATAAAGAAGGAGGGTTGCAGTTTCAGGGAGCCCTGCTTGGCAGCAAGAAAGTCTAAGAAAGTCTGACTATGGAGGAGTAAGAACAGCTTACACTTGTACTCTGTATGAGTCACCTACTGCTAGGTATCAAATCACCACAAACTACACAGGTGAAAACTACACACGTTTATTATTTGTTTCTGCAGGTCTGGAGTTTGAGCATGGCTTACCTGGGCTCTTAATTTGTTACTCAACAACGCACAGCTAATACGCATAATTAGACACACACACACACACACACACTCTGAACTGTACCTCTGGGAGGTGATCTGCCTGTCCTAGGTGTGGCAAATTTACTAAAAATATCTGCAACTCCTCCGAAAAATGTCTTCAGAGATAACAGCAGCTTCATCTCCTCTCTCCTAAGTGGCCAGGGACCAAAGCAGGATAATCCATTTCTGTCACCCAGTTTATGCCCCAAACAAGGCTCCAATCTATTATTCACAAAAGCTAAATCCACCCTCAAAGGGAAGAGACATGCTACCGCTGAGCAGCCCACCAGCTAGAAAGTCAAGTTGGCGAGTTGGCAGCAGGGCCCAGCCTTGAGAATGACCATGTCGTTCTCAATCCATGAGCACCTGCAGAGTCCCTGACATTCAAGGACTGTTTTACACTAGGCCTGTTTTAAAGAACATGGTAGTCACTGTGTGAACAAATTCTAGTCCATTTGTTTTTAAACAGCAGTGATGCTGTTTTAGGATCTCCCGGAGATAAGGTCCTCTGGACTACACGAACTCCAAATGCCTTTACGGAGGGGCCACTGATACGTTTTCCAAAGCAGAGTCGTTTCGGGGACACTGACACTTCCACTCCTGAAAACTGGTGAAGCCTTTAGAAGGGCATTATGGCGACATATATCAAGCACCCTAAGGATGTCCCCACCATTTCACTCTGCAACCCCTCTCTGAGGAACGGATTCTCTGGAAACAATTCAGTAGAAGAAACGAAATACGCTCAGAGATGCACACAGGCTCCTTATCTACTGGAGCAGACGCTTAAATGACCAAGTCAGGAGGCTGTTTCTCCAAAGGACGGAACCTTCAACTCTTGGGGACATCACTCAACAAGAAAACAGTACAAAGATTACTAACAAAGGGGGGAAATGTTCCTATTAAGAACATAAAATTGTACAGATGGTTACAAATACTTACAAGGACGAATTACAAATACAAAGTTTCTCTCTTGGGATAAGATTGCAGGAGGCATCTTCCTCTTCAGATACTACCTTTAAAAGTTCGTATGTTGTCTTTATCAGGAAAAAAAACTCCACCCCAAAAAAAAAAGAAAAATTAAAAGAAAAAACAGCCGTGCCAGAAAAGAGATGTCTCAGAAAGCTAGGTCTCGATATGGCATGTGAGCGTTCAGTTCACCTCCTTTCAGACCTGGCGGACCTGCAAACCCCACCTGGGAAGAGCAGCGCAAGTGAGGAGGCTCCGTTGGCTTCCGGTGAGCCTTTCCCAACCGGAAGGGCGGGGCCCCTGAGTTTGGAGGCAGCTCGGTGACCGCACCTGGAAGTGGCGCAGGACGCAGGTGCCCGCCCCCGGGGATGCACGAGGCAGGGGAGGAGGCGTGCCTGCTCAAGTCCCAGCTCCGAGATGACAGATAGGGGAAGGCGGAAGACTGCCTGCCCGCAGGGCCATCCACCTGCACGCCCAAGGCAAAGCGGGTGACTTCAAAGGTCACCGTGCACGTGTGCAAACAGAACACGCCCCCATGAAAACAGAGAGGCTGTCAGGACTAACACTCGGATAAATCACTTAGCTTCTCTAAAGGGCTGACTTCATCTGTTACATGGGGATAAGGGCAGCCTGGAAGGTGGTGGTGAAGAGCAAACAGGTCACTGTATGAAATGTAAAGTGCTCAATAAATAGTAGCGACTGTCACATTAAGACTTCAGGAATGTTCCTCCACACGGTCCATCATTTCATGGCAATTCCCAGCAGCTAGTATTTATAATCCTATGTACAGGGAAGCACAGTGCAAGCCATGCACACACCAGATCTTCTTCCAAAATGTTTTTTATAGCATATTTCTGTGAAACATGGGGTCAAAACTCCAGAAACCATTTTACCACAACACCGCTGCGAACCAGAAAGTCCAACTCTTTTATGCAAGAGATTTTTAAAAGTCATCGACATTTTCCCAATGCTGGTCGTTACTATAAAACCCCAGGTACCAAATCCACAACCCACCTCCATCACTCTACTCGGATCAAAAATCTGAGAACATTATTTATATTCGCTTTTCTTCTAGCTAGTAAACAATATATATTTTCCTACCTTGACAATTTAAATGATTAAATTTACAAAAACAATGATTTAGGCTTATCTAATTTTTTTTTAAAGATTTTATTTATTTATTTATTTGAGAGAGAGAGAATGAGAGACAGAGAGCACGAGAGGGAAGAGGGCAGAGGGAGAAGCAGACCCCCTGCTCAGCAGGGAGCCCGATGCGGGACTTGATCCCAGGACTCCAGGATCATAACCTGAGCCGAAGGCAGTCACTTAACCAACTGAGCCACCCAGGCGCCCGGCTTCTTATCTAATTTAAGTAAAATTCTTTTTTTTTTTTTTTTGGTTTGGTTTTTCACGGAAAAAAAATATAGGGGCGCCTGGGTGGCTCAGTCATTGGGCATCTGCCTTCGGCTCGGGTCATGATCCTGAGGTCCTGGGATCGAGCCCCGCGTCGGGCTCCCTGCTCTGCAGGAGGCCTGCTTCTCCCTCTCCCACTCCCCCTGCTTGTGTTCCCTCTCTCGCTGTGTCTCTCTCTGTCAAATAAATAAATAAAATCTTTAAAATATATATGTGTGTGTGTGTGTGTGTGTGTGTGTATATTTTTTTTTAGCCCACTTGGGAGATGTTCTGTCATCACTGCAGGGCTGGAAAGAGTTCTGCCAGGCAACAAAATTAAATCACTTTTCTGTAAGGCCTGTGCAGACCATCTCTAGCCAGAGGGCTAGGGCCCAGCAGCTGTATCCTCCTCAGACAGAAGAGCACCTGGTCCCCGAGAGGTGTTGCCCTCCTGTGCACACCCACCCACCCCCAAGTCAGGCTGGTGAGGCCTTGGGACTCCTCCTCACGATGCTTCCAAATGGTTTTCATTTTATGCAGTTGTATTAAAGCAGAGTTATTAAAATATTATTTAAAAAACACATTTGAGATATTGTAAGTTATGTGCTACTTTATTAACTCACTGAACAAAAAAGGGTGTCGCGGCAGATCTAGAAACCACCATAATTTCAAAGGAATGATAAGAGTAGCTCGAATTTCAACATATCTGCAACCACTCTGATGCAGTTATGAGAACCCCAGTCATTTCTGTGAGGACCGTGAATGTCAAGGGTTGTGTGATCTGCATTTGCAATGGAAGGAAATACTAAATTTCAGTTAAAAACTAGTGAAAATAAAAATAGAAGTTTTCCCCACCTCATGTGCTTGGACACCCCCCCCCCCAAAAGTCCCATCCGCTCACAAACAGGGCCCCTGGGTCAGGATTCCCACTTTGGGGAGTCACTTGGAACTTCACATTACGCCATGACCCCAGGCCATCGGATTCAGCAAATACCTGGAGTCCAGACTTGGGGCAAGGGGGCTGCTGGAGGGACCTTTTAGAGCAGAGGGCTCTTTTGTTGCTGAGAATAACAGGAAGGCCTACTGATATGGGGGCGCAGCCCAGGACCTCGACCCAGCCCCCAGTCTGATGCTCTGCCTACTAGGTGTGACCCATTTCCTTGAGCAAGGCCTCTGCCAGCTTGAGAGCTGGAAAAAAGCTTCTGAGATCACTTTGTTCAATGCCACTCTTACATATGGAAACTATGCTCTCAAAAATCTCCTGTATTATAAAGAAAACCCAAGACTGGCCAATTGGGCAGAAATACTGCCCTTAAATGTTTTCCAACAAAGTGCAAGTCCTAATTTTCGAGTGATTCTTCTACACGTGGCCGCCAAAACCTCACAAAAATTGGGTCAAAACAAAAATTTAGTAAAAATGACAAGATTTCTTAAAAATTAGAAATCCGCAGGTCAAAACAGAAACCATAAGTTATACGTTGAACACAGAGGCATGGATTTAAAAGGAAATCATGTTCAAAGAAACTGCTGCAGATGCTCTTATCCGGTCAATTTTAATAAATAAATGCACTAATACAAAGTATATTTGTGTGAATGAGTACAATTGAATCTCTCTGGTCCGTGTTGCTCTGGGGAGAGCGGAACAGTAAGGAAGACTTCCACCCCCTACCCTCAAATCCTACCACTGCTGTGGGAGAGAGGAGGCATAAAAAGGAAAGTGAATGGGCTCCTGGCCTTAACTCTGACCCTTTCTGCACCCAAGAGAAAGGTCAATCACTCTTCTCACTCTGGAGAAAGATTCTCTAGAACCTTCGGTCAGTCGCTAGGGAAAAAAGGGCCCTCCCAGGGCCCCTCCCACCCCAAGCCAGCTTCTGAGCCAACTCC